CTTTCATTTCGCCTTAACTTTAGTCAGAGGGAGTCGAACCGTAGACGGCCTTACTCTCCAACTCACAATACCTGCCCAAATCTGGCTCAGGATTCTGCTTTGCTCGTCCATCCAATCCATTCTATTGTCATGGCAAGCTGATATGATCAGACGCCGCTCTCGTTTTCGTCCTCGCACATGCATGCCTTGGGCTCGAATCTTGACAAGTGTTGACATAATCGCGTTCGGGTGCAAAGATTCGCATTTGCATTTCGAGGGAAAGGGTGATCGGAAGGGATTCGTGAATTGATCCCATCAGAAACCTGCAGATAGTTGCTTTGGAGGGGAGATGGTTGTCTTGTGACCCCGTGAATCCATACTTATCCTTCAACTGTTTCGTCGTTACAGACAGTGTCAAATGCGGACGTACCTTGCAGTTTGTTTCGAAAAGCGGCTGGAAGAAATTCGTAAACATGTCTTATTTGGCATTACCTTGAACATGTGACTGTCGGATTGTGCGAAGAAGACCTCGGCTCTTCGTGCTTCAGTCCTTGCTGAGCTTTTGTCCGTCATATGACTGACATACTCAAAGCCAGAAACTATCATTTATAAAAATTCACCATAAACACATTTCTCGTCTTAGTGTTTTTCAATGCATTTTTTGTAAATCCTATTCACTGGCTCTGACATTGTCCGCTAAGTGAGGGATGAAGGATCATAATGGATTCATCAGCTTCGCAAGATGATGAAGTGAGGTCCTCTTCGCAAAATCCAACCATCACAAGTCCATCAGCTTCCAGTAGGCTGTAGTTACGAATCCCTTTTTAAACGAAAAGAAAGCTACGTGAACCTCAATCTATTGAGAACTTCTTCAAAAACTAGCTTTTATTCAAACTTAACATATAGTCAGAGAAAGAAACCAACAGTTGTGATAGTAATAGCATTAAACTAAGCCGAGCAAAGAACTTTAGGATCGTGTGAAAGTATTTGGTGAAGAGATTCGAGGCTCGATTCCACCAATCTTGACCAGCTGTCGATTGGCTTTACTGGAACATTCATGCTGACGCATTTTCCGAGGCAATCTCCTTCGATTCTGGTGAAAAAGTGCTAAGCTTAAGTCCGTCAAATGACGAACATCATCAAAGTAAGTTATCATCGTCACAACGAAATTCAAGCTGACGAGTCAAAAAAACTCTGGTAGAGTGGTCTAGTCTTTTATCTGACCCCAAATGTGTATTTCCCTCCATCCTATTTGACAATATTCTAAAATAATTGTCAATCAACCCTTGTGGATACCTGTTCTCAACTGGAATTCTCCTTAGACTTCCCGATGTTTAACCTCTGCCCGACTCAGGCTCCTCATTAGGATAGACGTTATAACTCCTATTTTAACCCCATAAGTGTGGTTGGAAAATAAATTCAAAAGGAAACTTGCATATGTGGATTTCCTATACACACCTCTAGCTAATTTTGTCATTTCTTTGCTTGCTAGTACATCAAGAAAAGCATTAGTCATCTTCCTTTTCCAACTCGTTGGCGAATTTCGTCTTCCAATCTATCATGTTCATCAAACCAAGAAAATTCTCCAGGTTTTCTTTGTCATTGAAGATATGAAGACCAAGATGTTGTGGCCTCTGTTATGGTCGCAGTCTCCTTTCGATTTATAGAA